CATGGACTAGGAGGGCCTCAAATTCAGATTTCTACCTGCCTCTACTTCCCTAGTGCTGGGATCAAAGGTGTGTGCCACCACACCTGGCTAAAATTTTTATTTTATTTTATTTTATGTGTATGACTATTTTAACTGTATATATGTCTGTGCACCATGAGTGTGCCTGGACTGGTGCCTGAAGAGGCCAGAAAGAGGAGGTATATGTACCTGGTGTCTGTGACTATCTGGAATTGGAGTTACAGACAGTTGTGAGCCTCTGTGTGGGTTCTGGGAATTGAACCCAGGTCGTCTGGGAGAGCAGCCAGTCCTCTTAACCACCGAGTCATCTTGCCAGCCCCCTACTGAAGAATTCTGATGCACATTCAATTAACTGTTTTATATGTGACCAAATCTTACAATCAAATAATGTATTTTGGCCACTATCAGCAGACAGACTATTTCCTTTAAACAGGTAGGAGAAATGAGGTTTGTAAGATAAATGGGAACTAGAGAGGCATCTGGGCACCTCTTTTTGGCCTTACTGCAGGCGTAGAGGATGACAAGGCAGAGGCACACTGCTCCACCTCAGGATGTATGTGGAGACCCCGCACTTACCGCCAGCCCCAGGACACGAGACTGACCACTGCCTCCCTTTACCTGCACAGAATGGTGCTTCATTTTATTGGGCAATTAGAAACTGCGTTTAAATTCTCAAGGTCTCCAGCTAGGCTCAGAAAGAACGGGAAAACCGTTAAAACCTCCTCACTCTAGAGGGACCTGTAATGAGGCCCCTTGTAAGGAATGAGGGGAGGACAGTTCCACACTGTCTTCTGTTGTTCTACACACACCCACTCCTTCTGTTCCTCTTGGCACGGCTCCTCCTCATTCTCACACTTCCCCTGATCCTCACCCCCCCCCCCCCCCGCCCCGTTGAGAACGGAGCTCAAAGATAAAGTGCAGAAGCAAACCACAGGGCTTCTTAACATGGAGCATCTTGCCACAGGACGTTGGCAAGCTTTGTGGAATAAAGAGCATAGTTCCTCTCTTTCATGCAAGTGTGGACAATCTTTGGTCTGTTTCAGGATGTACAGGAGTCAGCGCAGAAGAGTGGGGATAAATCTGCCCCCCACATGCTGACTCACCGTGACTCTTCTAATATTACTTACCAGAATGACCTTCAGTTCAGATGAGAACCACAAAATACCAGTAATTTTATTTGGGGGAATATTTATATTTTGGTACAGTAGGTGAATTCCTAATGAAAGGGCATTATTAGAAGCATTTCCCTCCAAATCCCATGTGGTTTCATTTTAGTTGGGCTTCTAATTGGTCCACATGATGGAAAAAAATTATTATTATTATTTTTAATTCACCCATTCCCTATTTCCTCATAACTGACTCCCAGGAATACAGTCTCTCATTGTAAGTTCCAGACTGCTTTAAGACAAATGAACCCCATCCCTCCCTCCTCAAATAGTGCTTTCTGGTTCAGCACCCACCACCGAGTCTGGTGACTGAGTGCGTAGTGTTGAGAGCAAATTGTTCTCTGCTCAAAGAAATGAGCGATAGGTATTCTACAGTCAGCTCGTCTGTCGATACAAAGGGCAGACTCCCTTCCTAAGGGTTAGAGGGGACATGCCGCCTGTTCTCAGTGCAGGAGCCCTATCGTGGACGACCTTTGGGCTTTTCAGGAATCTGCTCCCTGGCTAGGCTGTAGAACGGTGTGGCACTTGGAGAATGGCATCAGTGGCTGGCTAATGCTGCATCTGAGGGTCAGCCAGGGACCAAGCACTCACCACGGGATTGTGTGCAGAGTACCCTCTACAGTGGCTGCACGGTGTGCCCTTTGTGGGGTAAGACAACAGACAGAGCAGGAAGGCTAGGGTCTGCCCTAGAACTCGTGAGGGTACCGCCGATCGTGTTCATCACGTACCAAAAGTCACCATAACCTGAATCATGTAAGATAAATTGCACGCATTTAGGCTTCCTATGGGGGCTTTATATACAAGAACAAACTAATCCCTTACCTCAACAGCTACTTTGAGCCAGGCACATGGTGGAGTCTAGAGACACAGCATCAGACAAAACAGATCAGGTCGCTAATCCCCCAGAGCCTAGAACAGTGGTTCTCAACCTTCCTAACACTGTGACCCTTTAATACAGTTCCTCAGTTGGGGTGACCTCCCTAGCCGTGAAATTATTTTTGTTACTTTCTAGCTGTAATTTTGCCATTGTTATGAATTGTAACGTACATCTCTGTGTTTTCAAATGGTCTTAGGTGACCCCTGTGAAAGGGTTATTCAACCCCAAAAGGGTCGAGACCCACAGGTTGAGAAGCACTAGTATATAAGCTCAGTCAGTATTGCTCCGGCACTGTCCTAGCAACTGTACCTTTGGATTTCCCAGATAAGTAATCTCCAGTACTAGACAGGGACAATCCTTCAGTCTCATACACAAGCTAAGGCAGCTCCCAATCCTTCAGTTCAACTCGGCTTCCCTAAGCAGTCTGGTATTAACGTAGGCTGGAGGGCATCTTCAACATAGGAAAAGAGACCTGGGGAAGAGTGGGGAAGTATTCCTAAACTCAAGAGCCACCACTGCATGCAACTAGTAAGCTCTTTGGCTCCTTGAGTGTGTACATCTTCACCTCGATGACAAGACCAGTACAGCCTGAAAGGGTAAAGCCTTGATTTTGAACTTGTAGAGTAGAGGCCAAGATGCCAGTTGGTGGTGATTGACAGTGTCTGTTTAGAAAACAGAAGTTTCAGCCAGTATCAATCCACTGATCATGGAACCCACTCTTCCCATCCGATCTAAACTCTTACCTCTCAAGGGCACACTGTTTAATACACTTTCTCACACCCTATTTTAAGCCTGTAACCATATGGGGATATCCAAGCTCCCATTTGACAGATGGGAACAACAGACCTCAAAACCATCTTGCTCAATCTTCCACAGCCACTAGTGAACCCAGCATTCAAGCCCAGACTCCTCAGGCTCCAAACCGATGTTCTCTTCATGATTCCACAGCTGTCCACTTGAAAATTTCAGTTCTTTCTTTCTGTGTGTTGTTTCAACACGTATGGAACAGGTGGGAAAGTGCCTTACTGCCTGCTAGGTTTTCTCCAGAGCTCTGGAAGCAGCCTGCGATGACCACCAAGGAGAGGTCTCCCGGTCAGTCAGTCACCTGTTCTCAAGTCTCTCTTGCCTCCCCCACAGGAATCCTGCAGATGCCTGGATGCCTGTCGATCTATTTTTAGAAAGAGGGAAGGGCATGTGGGTGGTACGCATTGGAGGTGTTGTAGGGTCTAGTAATAATATTCTTTGCTGAGGACACCCGGAATTGTAAATTGACTAAGTTCAGGATGAAGGACCTCTGAAGGGGAGCTCACCCTTCAGCACCGCCCATTCCCAGCATTGCTTCTTTTCTGAGCCTTGTTGTTGTTCTTCTCTCCCTGAGGGCTTCTCCTAGCACCTGGCACTCCAAGCCAGGGGCATTAGTAGCTGGCAGCAGCCTCAGCTGACGGCCCTCCGAGAAAGCCAAGCAGGAAGCAGAGCTAATTCTCCTTGACCTCTGTAGGGATTGGCAGTGGTCCCTAAGATCCTTCTGCAGAAGGGGCCTGCTGCTTTAAAGATCTGAGCAAACATCCATGGGTGGATCCCCTGCTTTTTAAAACTTCCTGGGGTCACTGACTTTATTCCAGGGCACATAAGATACTCTTTTAGGAATGAGAGACTAGGAAGACAAAACAGGAGGAAATTAATTTAAGGTCTTCAAACGAGTATGATATTAGGATAAACATATAAAGTCGCTACCTTTGGGAACATAATAGTGGCATTTATATATATTTTTAAATCCTTGTTCAAAGTATTTCTTTGACTTACCAGATTAACAGTGATGATGTAAAAATGCAAACACGTGCTTTTGAGGTTAGTTTTATGTTGAGAGCGTCACTATTAATATCTAAAAAGTTGACCAGTTCATAACGTCAAACTGAATATTAGACAAGACAATATCAGTGGGAATAAACTAAAACATCTTCAGTTTCGAAATCAGTGGTGACCTTCCTATCCAAGTAGATTCCCTATAGAAGAGAGAGCATGTGATAAAAAGAAAGGGCCATGGATCCCCAGCCACAACCTCTCAAGTACCTTCTTAACAACGTGACAAAACATACCAAAAGAGTCGTTATGTTCCAACATGTCCGTTAGTTACAAATTCTCACATCAAACTCTCTAGTGTGAACTAGGAATACTCGCTTATTTTAACCACATTGAAGTAAACAGAAAACCACTTTGCTTGGGGTAGGCTCTTCAGACAGTGACAGGCACTACCCTTCTTCAAGACTCCTTTTCAGTCTCAATGGCCTCTGGGCCAAAGGGAATCTCTCTTTAAAGGGATTCTGAAAGCAGCTCTGGCTTAACATGAAACTCCAGAGAGTCACTACTGCTCTTTCCAATGCCACAGCCTTTCCTGACGGCTAATCTGGAAAAGCCTTGGTCCAGATCACACTCTTAGAGCTCCGTGCCTGCCTAGCACACATGGGAAGACACCAAGGAGCCTCTGCCGTCCCCACCCCTGGCCGTGTTACTTGACAACATCAGTGCCCAACCTTCGTTTTAATGCCCACCTACATGTTCTCAGAGACACAAAGCAAGGCATCTATCTCTCCTCCCCCAACCCTATCACTTCCTACAACTGCCTGGGGTGCTTAAAGGTCTTGCATTTTGTAAATAAGAATTCTTTGAGAAAGCAGGTCTTGCATTTGCTGGATACACAATCTCTCTTTCTTAATTACTAAGCCCCAAGCCCAAAGAAAGAAGAACAAAGCAGGACCATCCCCCTACTCCCTAAATGCAAAATAAATGTTAAGGCGTCCTCCTCCTCATCATCATCGTTATTATTATTTTAGTTCTCAGGCCAGTTCACTGAAGAGCTTTAAATAGTGCTTAAATATTTATATAATAAGGATATTTCCCTCCTCAACAGATTGTTTGTGTATGGACTTGGTAATCAAATATTAAAAATCCATTTTTATTTTAATTGCATTATACTTCTCAAACGTCTCAAAAAAAAAAACACCCTTACACATAATTTGGGAATGTCTGTATATCTGTAAAAACTCAATGTCTCACCAAAGGTTCTAGGAAATGAGTAGAAGCTTCCAGCCCTCTCATCCTAGGATCCTACACTCTTACCCACAGCCTCCAGTCCCTTAGGGTCCCTATTCCAGCCCCTTATCCACTGGCTCTAGTTCAGCCCTTACACGTAGTAGGCCCACTATCTCTTTCAAGCCTCTGGTAATCAGGGAGGACCATCAGAACTCCACAGATTTGTGTAGCAAGAACCCTCACTGAAAAGACAGAAGCGGCCACCGGTTTCTTCTTTCCGTGTCCTTATGGAAAACGAAGAACGGCAAGGGGATCCATGAAAAGAAACACGTCCCTCGGTCCAGATTTTGGTCTACTGGTTCTTTTAGCAGTGCCCGAGAGGGTCACCATGGTATGGTATCTGGCTTAATGGGAGACGTGGCAGGCTCCATAGGCTGCCCTTGACTTGAACATCTGCATGAATGGAAAGACACAAGTGTGGGTTTAGAGAGTCGAAACATTGGAATTCCCCCCCTTGAACTTGCTTCTGATTGAAGATCTAGAATATGTGGACTGACAGAATGACTTCAGAACATGGAAATGCCCGGACGTTTCCTCTTCATGTCGTTCTCCTCGACCCATGTACCTTAGCAGCTTGCCTTGTTCAGAGTGGATACTCATCCACATCACGTCTGAGCTCAGCACTGAAGTCCTCTTTCACGGTCTTTGAATATCCTAATCCCGCAGCCCAGACTCCAGCACAAGCGGTGGAAACTGGTTTTCTTCTGCAAGAAAATGACAGATGAGGCACACTAAAAACATCTTGGGTAAACACAACCACAACTCAGATTGAAAACTGTGGCAGCATGTGTCCGTGCTTTGCCTCCTCCTCTGAGTAGCTGTGTGACTTAAACAGGTCATCTCATCTCCAAGGGCCTTGGGACGCTCACTGTAAACAGAAGGGAGGAGAAAGGGGTCACACAAGGGAGAGATGAGTTTTCAAGTTTCTTCCAGAACAAATCCACTCCCAGCCTCTACGGTCCTGAAGGTCTCTAGTTCTGTAGTTGACAATAGGCCCTCAGATCTCACTCTCCTTGGCCAGTACTTTCCACATTAGCAGCTGAGTTTAGAAGAACTCAAAGGGTCAATATATAAACAAGTCCTACTCTTTATAAGTTAGTATTGATCCGTAACCCAAACCCTAATTCAGAAAAGAAGGTTGAAAACTGAGCAAAGCAAAACCACACAACAGTTTCTTTCTCGTTCAAGGGACCCTGCGAAGGATGCAGACGGCAATGAAGATGGTCAAAGATGAGGATGGACCCTTCAACGCTGCTGTGAAGAATATCCCCTCCTTTCCCCACTGCCTCCAGCCCGAGGCTGCCCGAGGGAAGGCTCCCCAAAGACACCCCTTCCCTGAAGCTCTCCGGGGCCCCTTTTCCCAGTTTCGGTATGAACCTCCTCCAGGAGACCTTGATGGATTCCCCGAGGTCTTCGAGGGAGGAGGGTCCCGGAAACGGAAGAGCATGCCCACAAAGATGCCTTACAACCACCCTGCGGAAGAAGCCACTATCGCAGAGGAGAGCAAGAGCCTTGGCCCCCCGAACCTGGCTCTGCTTTTCCCGCAGCCCCAGCGCCCCAAGTGCGACTCTCAGATGATCGACCTGTGCAATGTGGGTTTGCAGTTCTACCGCACCCTGGAGCACTTGGGGGGCAAACCCGTCAAGCAGGAGCCGGTGAAGCCCAGCGCCGTGTGGCCCCAGCCGACACCTCCCACCTTCCTGCCCACACCTTACCCCTACTACCCCAAAGTCCACCCAGGACTCATGTTCCCCTTCTTCGTGCCCTCATCCTCACCCTTCCCCTTCAGCAGGCACACCTTCCTGCCCAAGCAGCCCCCCGAGCCAGTGTTACCCCGGAAAGTGGAGCCCCAGGAAAGCGAGGAGACCAAGCAGAAGGTGGAGAGGGTGGATGTGAATGTCCAGATCGATGACAGCTACTATGTGGACGTGGGTGGGGCTCAGAAGCGCTGGCAGTGCCCCACCTGCGACAAGTCCTACACCTCCAAGTACAACCTGGTGACCCACATCCTGGGCCACAGTGGGATCAAGCCGCACGCGTGCACCCGCTGCGGGAAGCTCTTCAAGCAGCTCAGCCATTTGCACACCCACATGCTGACACACCAGGGCACGCGGCCCCACAAATGCCAGGTGTGCCACAAGGCCTTCACCCAGACCAGCCACCTGAAGCGCCACATGATGCAGCACAGCGAGGTGAAGCCCCACAACTGCCGCGTGTGCAGTCGGGGCTTCGCTTACCCCAGCGAGCTCAAGGCCCACGAGGCCAAACACGCCAGCGGGCGCGAGAACATCTGTGTGGAGTGCGGCCTCGACTTCCCCACCCTGGCGCAGCTGAAGAGGCATCTCACGACGCATCGCGGGCCCATCCAGTACAACTGCTCCGAGTGCGACAAGACCTTCCAGTACCCAAGCCAGCTGCAGAACCACATGATGAAACACAAGGACATCCGTCCCTACATCTGCTCCGAGTGCGGCATGGAGTTCGTGCAGCCCCATCACCTCAAGCAGCACTCGCTCACCCACAAGGTATGGGGAGGGGGCACCAGTGGGGGGGGCAGGGGGAGCTGCTGGGCCATCAGGAAAGGAACAAGAGCTGGGGGACCTGTGCGTGGGGAGACCCGTGCTGCTCCCACCTAAAACGCTGAGAGGAGCGGTGTGACCCTGGCTAAGATACTCGCCTTACTTGAGTCCCGGGGCCTTGCCCACTTCACACAGCAAACAGTGAGTGACATGATAGTAGACAGTCAATTAAGCCCTTTCCCAGAATAGCCTGAGAGTCTAAGGTGGGACTGGAAATTACCAGTGCAGACATTTGGAGAGGACAGTGAGGAAGGATGCAGGAAGCAGCTGGCTGCCGTGATATTTCTGTTTAGCCCCCAAGAAGCCCTGGAATTTTGCCTCTAGAAACTTCTTTTAGGGAACTAGTTGGGGGGAGGGAGGGGAAAATGCATGCCATCAGATCTCAGATCAATTCCACGCCTGGGCTATACCAATGAAAGCCACCTTCTAGAGAAGTCTCTGAGAGCTCCTTCCAGCTGAAGCGGGGGCTCCTGGCTTGTTAGCTGTCTCTGCTGTGAGACCTGCTTCCTTCCGGGAGCTATAAACTGGAGCAGAGCCTGGTCGAGTCACTCAGGGCTAGCTCTTCTCTGTCAGCTCGGGTTGGCTAGTCTGTGGTATCCTTGTGGGAAGCAGGAGGAAGCTTCCTTCCCTGCTTGGTTTTCGTTTCCCTGGGCTCAGATCTTCATGGAGAAATGCAGACCCAAGGCTCGAGTTCCTGCCCTATTTGTAACCAGTGCTCTGTAGTTCAAGCCGGAACAGGCAAGGCCACAGTGGCATCTTGAGGTCTCACCCCATCTGAGCTGACCTGGGTCTGCTTTGAGATGCCCAAAGGGGACTTTTGTCCCTGCTGACCTCTAGTCTCACCCTTGTCCTTAGTGGTTTCCTTGGTAAGAAAGACCTCTAGGAAGCTGCTCTCTAAACCAACCTTTATTTCCAAAAGGTCATGAGAGGACTGCCCAGCTGAGGTAACAATGCCACTTTGCTCTCCTGGGTTTCATTTGTTAGGTTAGGATAAAACACAGTGCCTTCTGGCTCTGAAGCAGAGAGATGCTTCCTGACTGACAAAGGGCACCTAGACACCCTCTGAGGGGAGCTGCCTGCCAAGTGCAGGAACCATCGGCAGAGGACCTGGACTTAGATTTGGCCACAAAGGCATCATTGGCTTAGCTCGGGGGTGCCTGTGTATGTGGATAAGGAACCAAGGGTTATTGATTTTAGACCTTATGGATTCTGCAAGGCAATAGAAAATGAAGTTCACATGGGAAAAACAACCTGTTGCCTGACATGTATTTCCTTCAGATCAATAAACAAAGTGTGTTTACAGTAGAGACACCAGCAAACGGCGAGATGTAGTGATCACTGAATGCTTGCTTGGGGGTTCCCGACTCACTCATGCTGATTCTCAAGGACGCGGGGATCTGGTTCCGACTGAAAGTAAAGACACCAAAACATGATGAGGTCTCTCGGGAACCCCAGCACCGGCACCCAAATCTTTATTTATTCATTTGCTTTTTTTATTTTGTGCTTATGTGCATACACACGCAAACGCCCACGTCGAGGCCAGAGGTTGACATCAGGTGTCTACTATGGCTCTCCACTTTATGTTTTTGAGATAGGTTCTGTCACTGAACTGGAGTTCATCAACTGGTTAGAGTGTCTGACCAGCGAGCCTCTGGGCACCCTCCTTTCTCTGCCTCCTAGCGCTAGGATTACAGACCCGCCTTACTATGCTCGGCTTTTTCTGTGAGCACTGTGAATGCTTGCACAGTGTGCGCCACTCTGCCTGGTTTATGCAGAGCTGGGGCTCCATCCCAGGCTTCATACATAGAAAGCAAGTACTTTACCAGCTGAGTTATGGTCCCACCCCCCACCACTTCATCTTAAGACAAATCTTCACCAGGAAAAATCATAGAACTTATTTAAGGCTTCATAGTCGGTGAAGGGTTGGACAGAGACGTGAATCCACCCTTTAGTGCTTTGGGCTTACCAAAACTAAAGAGTGCTAACCTCTTACCACACTCCAACTAAAGTAAGTGAGAATATAGCTAGAATTAGAGCTAACTTGGAATGTCTCCTTCCTTAGGCCACTTACGGATACCAGACAGTATGAACTTTTAAGGTGTTAATTTGGTAACTTATTCTAATCCTCATTTTAGTGCCAAGATTCTTTGAGTCTTCCTTTTTAAAAGTCGTTCTTGCCTGGAACAACAGTGCACACTTGCAGTCCCAGCTACCCAGGAGACTGGAGCAGGAGGATTACTTGAACCCAGGGATTCAACACTAGCCTCAGCAACATGGTGAAACCCAGTATCAAAAAGTCACTAGGGAGCCTGAAGAGATGGCTCAGTTAAGAGCACTTGCTGCTCTTGCAGAAGACCTGGGTATGCTTCCCGGCAGCCACATGGTAGTTCATAAGCATCTGTAACTCTAGTTGCAGGGGGCATTTGATTCCCTACTCTGACCTCCTCAGGTACTAAGCATGTAGGTGGTATACATACACACATACATACGTGCAAGCATTCATACATACAAAATGAATCTAACATTGTTTTGAAATCGTTGTGGATGGACACCTTTCGTCCTGGGTTTTTCTGGGAAGTGAATGTTGTTGAGAAGGCTAGTATTCTGTCTGGGGGTCCCTGGAAAGGCTCTGAATTGAGGGCATCAGCACTCCACATGGAAACACTGCTCTATAGACAGTGAGGAAAGCAGGCGGCCTTCTGTTCTATTTTCCAGTTTAGAAGGTTGTCCCATGCCAAAAAATTCTCCAGCAGAAACAGCTGGACCTCTCAGAGGAGGCTCCAGAGCTGCGGCCCCCACAGGTCAGCATGGCCTGTGGGAACCCAGGGGACCAACCGGAGAGGGCGGTTTTCTAGTTGTAATTGATTGAAGCAAGGGTGAATGGCTCTTTGGGGATTTTTGAGTCCATTAGTGAAAACTGGTGTGACATTGGCTTCCTTCTGGGAAATAATATCAGTTTAGATTTTTTTTTTCATCATCATGAAAGCCAGATTATAGACTCATTTCATATATCATTCTACCGTGCTCTTTCCAAAATCATATTAATCCTCCCAATCTGTTGCTGTAGAACTAACCCCATCAGCAGTGGAAACAGCAGCGGCTTTCTTTTCTCCTAGTTTATGATGTTCAGGGAGAAAAAAAGTAGATTATATAATCAACACTTGCCAAGGAAATCACAACTTAACATGGCTTAAGCTGTGTCGTTTGGAACTTCACTTTTGCCTCCAAGTTTCTGGTGGATTTCTGTGTCAAAGAGGAACAGCCTATAACACTCGGGAAAGCCTGGTACATGATCCACACTCACTCTTTTGAATCTTGCCTCTCCACAGGGTGTGAAAGAGCACAAATGTGGGATCTGTGGCCGTGAGTTCACCCTGCTGGCCAACATGAAGAGACACGTGCTGATCCATACCAACATCCGTGCCTATCAGTGTCACCTCTGCTACAAGAGCTTCGTGCAGAAGCAGACCCTCAAGGCGCACATGATTGTCCACTCTGATGTGAAGCCTTTCAAATGCAAGGTGGGAAGAAGGGAGGACTCCGGGGCCGTAAAAATGTCTGACAGGCATGACCCTGGGGAACCTTCTACTCCGTTTCCTCAGTGGTACTACTGAGGCGCAGAGTGGGTCTGTGGCCAAGTCCAAGTTGTGCCCACCATGTTGCCCCTGTTTCTGCCACACGTGCTCACGGCAGTTCTTAGCTGGTCCCTGTTCATGTGACTGTGGCGTTAGTGTTTGGGTTGGGGGCAGGGGTAGGCAGACAGTCATGAGAAGTCTGAGTGCAAAAAGCGCATTATAGAATAACTTAGAATAATAGTAAGCTATTCTATAATGATCTTTCTACACTTCCTTCCTTAGAGGAGGAAGATGATGGGGGAGGCACTACTGGTCTAGAGTGGAAAACCAGGCTGGCCCTGTTTCCATTATAAGCCGATGAGTAGGCACAAAAAGGAATCTGAAAATCTAACATATCCTCCATCCCTTCCTTGCCTTCCCTCTCCCGTCTTGACACTTGGGCTAAACCTTACAATGTGAAAGCAGACATCCCAAAGAGGATTCTGGTGTGTCGACTTCCTTCTCTCTGGATAGACCGCTAGTTCTTAAGAGAGTTGCAGCACGATCCATAATAGTTAAGATGTGGAGCCAACCTACAGGCACATCAAAGGATGAGGTGAAGAGAAGGTGGTCCATATACAAGATGGAGTGCTAGTCAGCCGTAAGAGGAGCAAAACCCTGGATCTGTGTCAAACATGAACGGAGGCCATATTGGAGGATGTGATGTTAAGTGCAATAAGCCAGGCACAGAGAGACAAATGTTGCAGGTCTTTGCTCATATGTAGGAGCTAAGTTGACCTCATAGAAGTAGAGCTGAGGACAGCAGTTACCAGAGGCCGAGAAGGTGAGGAAGGAGAGGGAACAGATGTTAGTAGGGGTGCTGAAATGCAGTTAGGTGGGAGGAGTGTGGTCTAGTGTTCCACAGTACAGCAAGGTGACTAATTATCAAGACTTTATTGAGTATTTCTCCAAAAGATTTTGAGCAACCCCACTATCAAGCCTGATGATCTTGATCTGCTCACCACATGCTCTATACATGAATCTAAATATCATTCTATACCCAACATATATGTTTAGTCATTATGTGCCAATTCAAAATATTCTGAAAAAAATAGAAAAGGACCCAAAGTTAGCCCTTCAAAGGACTCCAGAAATGCTTGTGTGGACTGAGGAGTAACTGAGAACTCAGCCTCTACGGTATTTTTCCTTTATTCCTAAGTACCACATGGCCCAGGGTCTAAGGGTCTTTGTAGAACAGCTGTATCGGATTACTTCAGTTCATTCTTATTTTCTCAGCTGAGAGGATGTGTGAGCTAGAGATTTTACAAGACCGTGGCTTTCCAAGGCTGCCCTGCCCCAGGGCTGTTTCAAGAGGGTAGCTTAGGCCTAGGTGGTTGGAGGTCTGTGTGGATGGGTGCCATCCCACTCAGGAAGAGAGAGCAGAGGGAGAAGAGGAAATACTGCATTCAGACAGCGGAGTGTGTCTGTGTGAACACTAAGTTTTCCTTTTCTGTTGTTGCATGTTGTCTAGAGTGTGGGTGACTCACTTTGCAAACCCGGATCCCTGCCATTGGATCCCTCCTTCCAGGGTTGCTGCTTTCATCCCTCGGTAGTGTGGCCCCCACTTGAAGGAACCCCCTGCGAAGTTGACTTTCTTTCCTGTGCTGGCAGCTTCTCCACAGGGTGAGGGGTCAGGAACCAGAGCTTCCCTGGGCCTTGTGGACATTGTCTAGAGAGGGGCCCTCTCCCCTGACTCCTTTTCCTGCCTCCCACTTCTGTTTCCCCTTCTTTTCTCCAAGCTTTCTGCTGTTTGAAAGTCCCGTTATGTCCCTCTTGAGTGTGCGAGCTCAAGGAGGAGAAAGCAGTGTGTCGGGTGGGGGGCATCACTTTCGAGGCTTCTTTGCAGGGGATGAGTAATTTCAAGAGCAAATAAAGCATTAACTCAAACCCAGGGCCCTCCTAATGAAGAAGCCCATGAGCACCTCCAAGTCACTCGGCTCCACAAGGACCCCTTCTCTCTCACTTCAGACACTCTTCCGCTTTCCTTCTTACCCCATTGACCTCCTGGGTGCTTCACCATTGACAGTTACAGAGATGCCCTGCAGAGATTTACTGTCTCCCGTAGTGGAAGTGCAGGCAGGCTGTCTTATGCTTGGACAGCAAGCATGGCCTTCGTTCATTATCTTACCAACTGTTGGTTAGAGTACAATTGTTATTCTATAAAGGGAGCTACCTCTTAGTTTCTTTTCTAAAGAAATACACACCTGCTCAGTCCTAACTGTATCTCCTCTGATCCTCAGTAGAGATATTCCTCCCTGAGATGGAGGATAGATTAGGGCAGAGATATAAGTGGGAGGAGCCCCTGAAATGGAGGGGTTACAGTGTGCAGGGTGAGCCCTTGAGATGCAGAGGTAGATTAGGCCGGAGTTATAGTGTGCAGGGAGAGCCCCTGAGTTGCAGGGGTAGGTCAGAGCAGAGATATAGTTTTGGAGGGCCCCTGAGATGGAGGGGTAGGTCAGAGCAGAGATACAGTCTTGGAGAGCCCCTGAGATGGAGGGGTAGGCCAGTGCAAACGTACAGTCTAGGGGGAGCCCCTGAAGTGGAATTCAGAGCAGAATCAGTCTAAGCAGTGTGGGATCTGGGGTCATTCATGGGACAGTTCTGCTTCCCTACCCTCAAAGGCCTGCAAGATCTCTTGGGCTTGACAGTACACGAGCATCTGGAAAATTCGCTGTGGAACCGAGGCACAGAAAGTGTGCAGAGTTGTACACTCTGGGCCTAGTGCTGCAGTGAGCCATCCTCCATGGATGTTTTTGGCCTCCATTTGCAAATAACTACACCTTTCTTCTCCTCAACGATGGTGCATCATACATGGCCCCAAGAGCATGGGATAGTCAGCTGTGTGGCTCAGAAACTCCATTTTATCTCTCCCTTAAGGCCTGCTTAGGCTTTTGATGTCTTAGGCTCTTTTATGTCAGCAGATGCCATAAAAAAGTGAAATCCCAGCATTGACACGAGAGACAGTTTACACTGCACGGGAGAACAGGAGCTGGACGGCTCTTCTATACACAGCTCTTCTATACACAGCTCTTCTGCATGGTGTTTGGGTTCTCTCAGAAGGCCAGAACACAACTCTCCACCTAGAGAGTGTAGTCTGTTATTAGGCAAAGCAATTTGGAAGATAAAAGGCATTCTCATCAAACTTAGCTGGCCCTGCTCCATTGCTTAAGCATTTCTGAAATAACAATCCATGTAGGTCACCTTGACCGAGCCCTTTCTTCCTGAAAGCTCCAGAAGCACGCTGCCTGTTTTGTTTTGTTTTTTCCTCCTCATCCCCACTTCCTTGCAGTGGCATTCTTTGAGCTAGCCTTTGGTACCATCACTCTTCATTATTTCAACAGACTTTCCTGACATGTATGGGTTACATATCATACAGGTTCCCCCATGTGTATGAGAACCACAGGGTAGAGATCTGTAAAGCCTGAGGCCCCGGTTCACATCCCAGGGTAGTCTTGGGATGTCCTGTGGACTTTGCTTCCTACACTTTGAGCTGGATGGAAATCTGGCCCTGGGTGAAGGTTGTAGGGGATTGGAAGGGCTAGACAAGAGATGGAGGCCACTTGTTCATTGCTATGCATTTTATAACCGACTGAGACAATGTCTGGCCACCTGCATAGCGATGATGGATGATATATATATATATATATATATATATAAACTAAGCAGTTACACCCAAGTTTGATAGTCATAACAGAGGGTAGTTATTCTCTCCCCATGATTGACGTGGCTGGGGAAAAAAGGCAAGGCTTGCTTCACTTCAGCAGTGAGCTGGTTCTATTGCCTCTCCCCCAAAATTTGCAACAAGAAAGATGCTTTAAGTAATAGAGTCTAATTTCTTGGGATTTTTGCCATTAAAATGCACGCCTCAACATAAATCCCTCTTCCTGTTGCAGCGTGGAGTGGTTCTCACTGGAAACAGCTGTCCCCAGTGAGCAGAAGTGTTCACTGGCTGTAGAATTAAGCGTTAACAACAGGATGGAAAATTAGTGGGGAGAGAAGTTTTCCATTCTGTGTTTCTTTCTCTCTCTCTCTCTCTCTCTCTCTCTCTCTCTCTCTCTCTCTCTCTCTCTCTCACACACACACACACACACACACATACACACACACACACACACACACACACACACACACACACACACACACACATATATATGCCATATATTTATTTATGACTGCCTTTCTGGACTCTTGCTATTGGCTCCACTTCTAGGCTTCTTGCTCCTGGGAGCCAGCTGGAGGTAGTCCAGAGACCCAGCCTGTAGACTTAAGCTATGTTTCACAAATACACTTCCCAGATTCTGCGTAAGCACGCAGGCCTTGATTTGGATACTCTCTGTGTAGTGGCCGCACTCCATAATAGCATAGAACCAGCTGCCGTCTTTGGAAAACCTGTCCAGGAAAAGCTTCCATCCAGAATTTCCGGGACAAATCCTCTTTTGAGATGGGTGAAGCCCAGAGCTGCCTGAGTTATGAATCACTGGGTCATCTACAGCCTTTTCTTCAGCAGAGGGCTGAGGGCTGGAGGCCTGTGAGTGCAGCAGAGGGGTGAAGTCGCCTTGAAAAGGGTCTCCTTTTCCTCTCCCAAACTGTCAGCGGTTTGGTGCACCGGAAAGAGAGACCAGACTGGGCAGTTTGCAGGGGCCCAGTGCCCGGGGTCAGGGTTTGCAGGCTGGCATGGAGGGGGTTAAGGCAGTGACCAGATAGCAGCCTTTTGGCAGCAAAGCCCTCCTCCTAGGCAGAAGGAAGGATATAGCTGAATGAACTGCCTGCTTAACAATGCCTAGCATGTCCCCAGGGGCCCGCCTGCAAATAGATTTCATCTTGCTTTCTCTTGTACTTCTCAAAGCTTCCTGTTTTCTCACGGTCCTTTTGGACAGTTTACAGTCTCTCTCTCCCTCCCTCCCTCTCCCTTTGAGGAAAGGAACACCCTTCTTATTAAAGAGAGGAGAGGGAGAAGAATGTAAAGGGGAGGGCAGTTGAGCCGAGGCCATTCTCTAGGGCTGGCTGGAGCTCTTTGACCTTTCCTCTCCGGATAGGAAAGAAAGCTTCCCCCGGGGCATCTTGGCTCTGAAGCTCACCTCAGGCAGTCGTAACCAGGTCCAGTGCTGCTTGGCCTTGTGGGCCTCTGGACTCAGCCAAGTTCCTGCTACTGCCTTTGCTCCATCTCTGCCCACAGCTGACCTCTGTGGCGGCTGCTGCCGCGGGGGCTCATGGGAAGCAAGTAACTCCAGGCCCTGTACCTCGGGGGTGGCAGATGGGAAGGGCACCAGGAGGCCAGATCAAGGAGGCTGAAGCAAAGAGGACGGCGTGTGGCAGCTGTTTCAAGGGCATCCTGGACATCAGAGAGCCATCTGGTGGGCGCCCCCAAAGACTGTGGTCTATAGTGAATCGCCGCTTTCCACCCATGATTCCTGGGCTGGGCTTCTAGTCAGTTCCAGGACACCTGGCAGGGATTTAGCCAGAAGATTCCCTTTCGGTTCCTTTGATGTTTGGAAAGGACAGCACTTTTACTGGGGTACTGTGGCTCACATCTGGAAAGATGTAAACTGAGTCTCCAGCCCTCCCCCAAGCGCCTGCACCAAGGTCTCTCTTTGATGCAGACCTTGTGAGATCATTCATCCAGTCCTGGCTTGGGAATGCGCTAGGATTTTCAACTCTAGATTAAGGGAAACCTTCACTTCAGCTACTGATTCTTCCCAGGGAAGAAATGAGTTTTGCTGTTTCCTCTACACTCTTCCTCTGTCCGGTCTAAATCCCCTCCTGGGCTGCAAGGACTCTGCTTAGAGCTGACATCCCAGGACTCTATCAGTAGCAGACCCCAAGCTCTTTCTGTAACCCCTCTTTGCTGTCTGAGAGGGATGGCTCTGTGTGTCACAGACATTAAAAAACAACACCACAAAAACAAAAACACAAAACCTCTCTACACTTGGGCATTGTCATGTGAGGACACTCTTCCCGGAACAATGGAGGAGCAAGTGTTCTGGATGAGGACCACAGGGCTCCATGGAGGTCAGAGGTAGAGGGAGGAGCTGACCGCGAAGCTACTGCTGAGATGAGAATGGAGGCCAGGGGCTTCAGGTCCTTTGTAACCTGACTCCATCCTTCAGCCACTGGGTGTTTACAAACTGGTGTGTGTGTAGGCTAGTGGGCAGATGAGAACCAGGAATGACTGTATTTTAAGATTGTGTATGGGGTGATGATATTTCCTGACTGTTTATATATTCTCCCAGCCTAATGCTTAACTACTCGTTAAGGGTGTTGTGTATGTAGCCCTGTGCCTGATTACTGAGGTTGGTTACAAAGAAAATTGAAGTGACCCTTGAGTTGAAAACTGACTGGGACACTTTGGGACTTTCAGAGTTGACTTGCCTCTACCGATCTCCACTGTGACACCCAATAGGCTACCATCAGTCATGCAGGGTAACTCTATTATATAAAAACTAACTTGCCAACATGACAGAAACTAGTCTCCTTTACCAATCAGATATAATAGAGCTGACCTGTCATGCTCTACAGTGGACTTCCCTTCAGACCATTGGGATTACTTTAGAGGACAATATGATGTTTTTTTGGTTTTGTTGTTTGTTTGTTTGTTTGTTTGTTTGTTGTGTTTTGTTTTGTTTTGAGACAGGGTCTCTCTGTGTAGTCCTGGCTGTCATGGAGCTAGCTCATTGTGTAGACCAGGCTGGCTTTGAACTCACAGAGATCTCACAATATAATTTCAAAGTCCAATATAAATTTAAATATAATTATGATGTCCCCATATACCACTAAACTGTCCCAAGAAGTTTTATATTGAATGAATTGAGCCAGTGTAGAACCATTCACTAGGCTTTCAGAAAGGATCAAAAAAAGTAGCTTGTCTATCCTAGTTAGGGTTACTATTGCTGTGACAAAACACCATGACCAAAAGCAAGTTGGAGGGAAAGGGATTTATTTTTCAGTTTACACTTCTAGATAACAGTCCATCACTGAGGGAAGTGAGGGCAGGAACCTAGATGCAGGAGCTGATGCAGAGGCCTTGGAAGAGTGCTGCTTACTGGCTTGCTCCCCCTGGCTTGCTCAGCCTGCTTTCTTATAGACCCCAGAACCACCACCCACAATGGGCTGGACCCTTTCCATCAATCACTAATTAAGAAATTGCCCTGCAGCCAGATCTTATGGCAGAATTTTTTCAATTGAGGTTCCCTCCTTTCAGATAACTCTAACTTGTGCCAAGTTGACATCAATCTATCCAGCACAGTTGTCTGAAGCTGGAGAAGAGTCTGCAAGACACCCAAAGGTGGCCGTTATGACGAACACGCACCTCTGAGTGTAGACTTGTGGTGAGGGAAATTGATAAGTGGAACCTTTGAAGGTTGACAGGTGGAACCTTGGGGTAGATGACTTGCAGGACATGACCCCATGTTCCAGGTATGATGGATATGACAGCCATAAGCAGTTAAGCCTCATCAAGGCAGCAGTAGGCCCCTCACCTGTGGTATAAAGTAGACTGAAGTGTGCCAAGGCAAAAGTAAAGGGCATCCTTCAAGAAAGGGCTAAACTATTCTTGTGTGTGTGTGTGTGTGTGTGTGTGTGTGTGTGTGTGTGTGTGTGTGTCTGTGTCTGTGTCTGTGTCTGTGTTTGGTGATGTTCATGTGGAGGCCATAGATCAACCTCAAATGTCATTTCCCAGAAGTCATCAGGTTCGTGCTCTCTCTCTCTCTCTCTCTCTCTCTCTCTCTCTCTCTCTCTCTCTCTCCCCCCCCCCCCCCCCCCCCCCGTCTTGGACCGAAGGACAACTAGTCAGCCTAGGCTGACTGTCGAGTGAGCCCCAGGGACCTGCCCATCTCCACCTCCTCAGCACTGGGGTTGCAAAAGCATATCACCACACTCAGCTGTTGACATAGATCTGGGAGTCCCACTCAGGTCCCCATGCTTGGACAGCAAACAGTTTATCAGCTAAGCCGTTGCCCCTGATCCATCTCTCTAATGGAGTGGTTTTCAGGCCAGTCCAGACTCTAATATCTGAGAATCGAGCTAATGGCTAGAAGAATGTCTTGCACCACAGAAGCCAGTGCTGAAGGCCTTCATCCTTCCCTTTCAATGATGTCTGTCTGCTTTAGAGCGGAGCATCCGACCGTCTATGTCTGGACTTGCCCAGGGATTGAACTGATCTTCTGGTCTTCTGCTTCTCTCTCCCACTTGGGGCTTTTTCTCCTCCAAATTCTTCTATTGCAACATGTTCCACCTTCCTAGCTGAGGCCCTGTCATGTGTCAAGCACAAACAAGGCAAGTTCAATCAAAAGACAGGCAGAGCCTTCACAGACTCAGCCTGCTGAGTGGGAAGCATACTTTCAGTATTGACTAAGCCCTGGTCCCAGCAATTGTACCAGCGACACACCCCCAAACACTCAAGAATCACCCCCACAGAACATAAGAGGTGTGTTTCTTCTCCTTAAAATGTAACGTGGGTCTTTAGATCTGAAGTTTTATTCCTTAGCTATAATAGAGAAGTGGGTAAACTAGGCTAACAGTTATAACTTCACAAAAAAAATGTGCAAAACGGAGCACAGCTCAGTGTCTTCATGAACAGTGTCTAGTGGGAATAAAGAAGTATCCATCTCTCACATGGCTGCTCTAGTTGGGAGTTGGAATTGGATCTGTTTTCTCATCCTTTCCTCCCCTTGGGGTGTCATTTTTTTTGTCGTTGCCCCCCACTCTATCCTGGGGCTTACACTTGCTATGTAAGCACTGTACCCCTGAGCTGTATCCCCAGGCTTTGGGGGTCACCGTCTTCTAATGTGTGTGGTGTACAGTTACTCTGAGCCTAGAAGTCTGCCTAGGACACCAAATTCCGTCCCAGGCTGGCTCCTCTTACACCCAGCATTCTTTCGCGTAGCCTCCCAAGGTCAATCTTGTCAGCTCTGCCCGCCTGTTCTTCCAAGGTTAGCTCCACTGCCCTTCCCTAAGGAAAATGGTGTTTTGGGTAATAGAAAATCAGTCTAGGATCTTCAACATTAGCCTTGAAGATCTCTCTCAAAGAGAAGAGAAAGCTTATGTAAGCCCCAGGGGATGCCATACCCCAATCCTGCCCCCCAGTGGTATTTCTCACCACACATCACTGTCACCACTCCTCCACTGCCCCTCAGAAGACTGCCTTGTTAATTAACACACTGGTTTACACACCAACACAGCATCCTTCTTTGTCTTTCTCATAATACAAGCACGGAAGGGCTGGAGCTCCCAAACATTGCTCTCCTGAGGCAGAGGGACACAAAGTGTCCCAGAGTCACAGTTGTGCACTTTCCTCTGTAGAGAAGCGTCAGGTCCACTCTTGAGATTTGTCATGTTTACACCCATGGGTAGCTCACAACTGCCTGGTTACCTGCATGCATACAGGTGCACACTGGCACACATACACAGACTCAGACATACACACAGGCACATACCTTTTTTTAATGTTTGCTTTTTTTAATATCTCACACAAAATTCTCACTTTTTTGGATCCCTACCTAGAGAAAAGACAGCTCCTTTCTTAGATTTCTGTTCCTTTTCTTTTGCCACATAGTGAGTTCGAGGTCAGCCTGGACTACATGAGACCCCACCACAAAGCAAAACAAGCTTTAATTTAGAAGCTTTGAGATCTGGTCCTTGAGTTTAGAGAAACTGGACACCTAGTGTCGCACAAATCCAGTCCACCTGCTCCACTTCTGAGCCCAGGTAACCCCTGGCCCCTCCTTGACTGCCAGGGGGACATTGCCTTTGGAAGTAGTTAGAGCACCAAGCAGGTGTGGCCACTGCTCTCTAGTCCCCCCCCCCCCCACACACACACACTAGAACACAGGTTCTCTGTGGTAAGATCATCGTGTCCTGGTCTCTGTCCCCCACAGCTGTGCGGGAAGGAGTTCAACCGGATGCACAACCTGATGGGTCACATGCACCTGCACTCGGACAGCAAACCCTTCAAGTGCCTCTATTGCCCGAGTAAGTTCACGCTGAAGGGGAACCTGACCCGCCACATGAAGGTCAAGCACGGAGTGATGGAGAGAGGCCTTCATGCTCAAGGTACCCCTCTACCCTGGTCAGAAGCCCTGCCCACCAAGCCCAGGGGGTGACACATAGAAGAGGAATGTGCTTTTATGGGGGCATTTCTTGGGGGTGGAGTGATTCTTGCCCCAAGCAGGGGATGTATTTTAATGACCACAGCAGAGCAGCAGTGGCAACTTGGAACACAGTAATGATGCTTTGATACTGTTTGTTACTGGTTCCTTTGTCTCCGACTCGGCACAGAGTACTTTTATCTCTTTAAACCCTCACATCCACGTCCAGCTGGAGAGAGCATCTATTATTTCCATTTTGCAGGCTGGGAATCTGAGGCTTCCAAAGTTGCTTCATGAAAAAGAAGCAGAGTCAGGATTTGAACCCAGACCTTTTCAACTCAGTCTTTATTATATCTCCTTCTCATACTGCTAGATGACATGGGATTTTTCTCCCATTTTTTAAAACAAACAGCAATGACCAAACAAAGCGGTCTGCATACCCTGCACCAGTGTATTTGCAGTGGGCTACGTTTCCCATTTCTGTTCACTCAAGAGCAATTTTGCTATTGCCCTAGCTCCTACGTGAGCTGGGTTTTGTATCTCTCCTGCTGAGTCTTTACTGAACTAATGAAAAGCTCCTGCCTATTTTATCTCCTTGGCCACAGGCCCTTGTCAGTGAAGACTTTATGTTCCGGGTCCCTTGAGTGCAGCAGACTACTTAGTCACCTAATCAACGAGTCCTACAATAAACAGACAATAAATGCACCCCAGCCAGGGCGGTGCCAGAGTAGAGGGAAGGAGGCCACCCGGCCTTCCAGGTCTGTGTGTGGGGAGAAAAGACAGTCACGCCACGTTTACAAAATGACGCTAACTGCTTTTTGACCACAAGGATGCTGACAGCTCAGGATGAGACAGGTCCACAGCATCCTCACTCACCTCTGCTAGTCCATGAAAGAGCCACTCCTCATTTTGTGTCGGAGGAGACCTGGGCTCGGCAGTGTCACGCTGGTGAGCAGAGGTTTGAAGGCAAAGCTGACATTGTGACTCTAGGTTTCCTGAGTCAGCCTACGTTTGCTCACCATGCCATGCAAAGCAAGGTGACCCGTTTGTATTTACAAAGTGAGATGGATGGGGGCACACATTTGTAAACCATGTATCTGAGCACACAACAGGACACAAAATACGCATAGTTTGGGGGCTTTTCACAACACCCCTGAGTTCATGGTGAGTCCCTGACTCACAGGCAACTGTGGTCATTACAAACAAGGGCTGGAGTTTATGTAAAAGCCTTGAAAATACTGGTTTAAAAGAGGTGGTTTTTTTGTTTGTTTGTTTGTTTTTAATTTTTTTTTAATTTATTGAGATGGCCTTTCTCTTGAATCATTTACTGAATCTCTGGCTGGCCATGGCGCCTCCAAAGCGAGGCATGGATTTTTCTAAAAGAGCCTGCTTCATCACTAGGGTGGGAAACAGCCAGAGCAAGAAGAAGCCAGTCCACTCTCTAGAAACCTGACGTGGTCACTCTGAATTTGCCCACATTGAAGCTCACATCCTAGCTGGAACCTAGTGGCTCTGTCACTTTGGAGGACGGGGAGAGCATCACTGTGTATCAGAGGATTGCGTTGAAAATAACTAACAGATTTTCAACCATTTTGGTGGCTTCATTTATAAATGGTAATTTTTTTGTGTGGCTCAAAAGAAACCGTTAGAAAGATGAGAAAGGCCCCTCTTATCACCTGACAAGACTAAAGCAATAGACAGCAGACATCATTGTCCCTCAGAGCCTCTACCCTGCCTTTCCTCACTCCCACCCCAGCCTGACACCTGCCGGATCCCAGACACCCCCTTCCTGTCTCTCACACCCCGAGTGTCCCTGCTGTGCCTTACAGTCCGGTTTGGGTCACCACAGGCTGAGGCCTTGAACTCGAGATGAAATGAGCCATGTGCCTAGTGCTGATCACTAAGCCCGTCTTTCTAGGTATCCAAACTTCACCCTGCCCAGCACAGGGACATCTGTGATCCCACAGGGACTCTGTGAGCTCCTCAGAAAACCTCTACTCTCTGTGCATGGGGACCACAGGCTTAGAGTGGCCTCCCAGGTGCCACGTGGAAGGGCGTGGGTTTGTTTGTTTTTCTTTGAGGATGAACTATCTTTGTTGTTACTTTCTTTATCTGCTGTAAAGTAAATGCTCTCTGTGGAAATAAAATGAGAAATACTTCAGAAATGAGGAGAAAATGCAGCAGTCACTTCAGAGTTCATCAGTTTTGAGATCTGAGCCTACATCTTACTAGACATTTTTGATAAGGAAAAAAGAGAAGAGAATCACACAAAGCGGTGGGGGAGAGGGAAAGGGAGAGACTGATTATATTGGACCCATATTATAGTATACAATACAGGCTTTATGTACTACATTCTGGAACACACATTTTAACTTAAAATACATAGAGAATACATGTATGATCTGTAGTAGCCATCTTTATCACCCAGACATAGCTCATTGTGTGGTTCTACCATTTATGTGTGTAACCAAAATTTAGATACTCATTTTTTTTTTTACATTTTCAGTATCATGAAAAAAAATTCACACATACGCTGTGCGCCTGCCCTGCCCCTTACTTTTTCATATTTTAAATTCTCAGTAGAGACATTGCTAAGTCAGGGTATACGTTGCCAAGGTTGCCTTAAAGGGTTGCACGGATCACAAGCTTCCCATGCCGTGTCCTTGATGGGAACCACTTCCCCCGCCCCGCCCTGTTTTTAAAATGGACAACCACGATGCTTAAAGGGCCTTGGGCATTGCTTTCCTCGGGCGTGTAAATTCTGCTCTGGTCCTGCAGGTCTGGGCAGGGGACGACTCGTCCTGGCGCAGCCCACCACTGTCCTGAGGAACCTGGAGCAGGAGGAGCCGTTTGACCTCTCCCAAAAGCGCACCGCCAAGGGGCCGGTGTTCCAGTCCAGCACACAAGACTGCCTCTGCCACGAGGAGGAGGAGGAGGAGGAAGAGGAAGGGGACGAGGACAATTGCTTTGAGGTGGAACCCTACAGCCCCAGCCTGGCCCCGGAGAGCCAGCAGCTCTGCGCGCCCGAGGATCTGTCCACCAAGCAGGAGCACACACTTCGGGCCCCGGGGGAAAGATGCAGGGACCAGGCTGCTCCGGAGGAGCAGCAGGAGGAGAGTGTGGAGGACCACGAGGGCAGGGACATAGACTGCACCATCAGAGACGAGCACCTGGGCAGCGGGCTGCTGCCAAGCCGCGGGCAGGGCCCCTCGCTTTCCGATTACTTATACTTCAAGCACAGAGATGAGGGTTTAAAAGAATTACTGGAGAGGAAAATGGAAAAACAAGCAGTCCTTTTGGGTATCTAAGTGGACGGCTTTAAAATTACATTTGGAAAATGAGATCTAGGCAGTTCAAATATAGCTTTCTGCACGAACTGTCATTTGCTGGGGACGGGCGAGTGGCGCCGGTCTTTACAAATGGCTCAGGCTAGACGTGCGGGTAACACAAATGCTTCTCAGGTTGCTCCTTGGGCACTCGGCAATTTCATACAGGTGCAGGGGCCCCTCGATGTTACTTTACACATCACCCACATGTTGAACTGTGCTTTCATCTAGATACCTAACTGCAAGCTGAACCTCAAGGTGCTTGCTTTTAGAAACTGTTTCCTCTAACATGCAATAGAGTAAATGTCTTTCTAGTTGCAAAACTGTGGTGCTCATGTTACCTTATTAGTGACTATTAGTTACATTTATGAAGGTTACAATATCATAGATGAAAATATTAGCAGTTGTATATAATAATAGCCTCTATTAAATAATAGAAACATGGGAAATGATGCAAGAGATGAGTTGTTGGAAAGGCTGTTCTGAGTTTCTGCAAATGTGAGCTAGGGTTTCAGGGGATGGTAATTTGTTTTGACTAAGGCGGAACTAAATTGCTTAGATGCCTGGTTGGGTACTCTGTTCTGCTTCAGCTTTCCTGTTCAGTGGGAGATTTGGAGCACCCCTGTGGATATCTGGACAATGCTTGGGGGTCCCAACTCTGCAGACCAAAGTCCCGTCCCAAGAAGGGCTTCCTCAGAGAAACCATTGCCACCTTGTTCTCAGGCCTCACGCTCCATGAAGCAACTGAAAGGGGAGTTGCCACAATGAACATTGGGGGCTCGGGCTATGAAATGGGGTTCAGGACTTCTCCCTAAAACAAGCTCTGACTTATTTAGGGTAGAGGAATGATCATTCGCCTGTCGCTATAAGCAAGACCTGAGCTGTGCTCTCAGAGCTGGCTACATGTGAGAACCATCCACAAGAACCTTTAGAAAACACTGATGTAGCTAGGCATGGTAACTCATAACTGTAATCCCAACACACGGGAGACTGAGGCAGGAGGATTGCTTCATGTTTGAGATCAGCCTGAGCTATAGACTAAAGTCTTTCTGGAAGAAAGAAAGAAAGAGAGAAAGAAAGGAAGGAAGGAAGGAAGGAAGGAAGGAAGGAAGAAAGAAAGAAAGAAAGAAAGAAAGAAAGAAAGAAAGAAAGAAAGAAGAGAAAGGAAGGAAGGAATGGAGGGAGGAAGGAAGGAAGGAAAAGAAAGAAAGAAAGAAAGAAAGAAAGAAAGAAAGAAAGAAAGAAGCAAAACCCACCTGTGGTGAAGCCTTGCCCTGTAAGTTTCTGGTTTAACACATCTGGAGTAGGGCCCCAGCACTGGCAGTTCCCAAATCACCTCTAGGTGCCTCTTGAAAAAGAAGCACACTGTTGTCACGTAGGCCTCACCCAGTTCTGTGTCCCCTGGGACTCCTTCCCACTGTCCATAGTTCTGATCCTGACTTCAGACTCACTAGGAGAACAGGAGACCTGCCACCACCACAGTGCAGATGTGCACCTTTGTTCTTATTCTGTCACCCTCCCCAGGACACACACACACACACACACACACACACACACACACACACACACACTGTAGATACACATTCTCTCTGTGTGTGTGTGTGTGTGTGTGTGTGTGTGTGTGTGTGTGTACTACAAAACAATGCCTGCGATGTTTGTAGCCACCAGTGTGTTGCAAGATGCATGATGACTCTGATTCTTGCCCAGGTGCTTGAACTGTTGCTGCAGTGAACTGTGAGCATTATGATGGATATGTTGGACCTTCTTAGACCCTGCCCTGGGAAGCAGTACTAGCAGGGGGTTGAGTCCATGTCACTGACTCATGGTAGGTACCAGACCATGTTTGGGTAAAACCTGCCTCTTGGTTGAGTGTCAACATTCTTGGTAAAGCCAGGTTCTGGTAACTGTCTTGCTGCCTCTCCTCCCAGAGTGCCCCGCACACTCCTTGAGAAGATCCAGTCTAGCTCCAACTCCATGCAGCTTTCCCCGTCAGCCAAGCCGCTTCTCCATGATCCTCACTCTTTCACCTATGTGCTTTGACAACCTCTCACCCATTTCTCCTGCCAACGTCCTAAAATTCCTTCCTCTGTCGCGACTGCCACTGTGAAGCACAAAAGCTTTATGCATTTCCTACTGCCACCTGAGCACATCCCTAGGTCCCAACACCTGCAAAGGGATGGATGGTGGGGAGAACGCCCTGGGTTTCACAAGCAGAACTCTGGACACAGAATTGTTGCAGGTCTTCAGATGGGCATGATTCTTTCCATTCACTATGAATGAAGCTTTTTGGTGTCTTTGATAACGGTGCCAAGAAAGCTTCATTCAGAAACCAAGAGTTGAGGACCTACCATGTGCTGTGCCTTACCACAGTTCCACTTACTTCCAGGTGCTTCTGGGTATGTCCTGTTGGAATAGAAGGAACCAGGAGAATCTAGAGGAGCAGAATCTAGTCCATCACAAACAAGTCCTATGGGACTGTTTGAGGGACCAGTTATGTCAGAGAGAGAATGGTCTAGAATGGTGGTTTACAAGCATGTTTTGAAAAGTGGGAAGTCTTATCATAGGGTCCTCCAGAGCTGTTAAGGAAGGAGGTAGCCAGCCTGTAGGCCCATTTCACTCCAGCAGGCTTCCTCTGTGTGGTGTTAGCATCCTGAATAAGATTTCTTGGAGGGAGAAGAAATATCCCAGGAAAGTAACCACAATGTAATATGGCCTATGCTGACCCTGGCTCTAGATTCTACTTCTGGGTATAAAAGACTTAGTAGGCTTTAACCAACCCAGCACTGACCCAAAAGTGAAGCTAGCCCCAGGTGTGGAAGAGGCATCAGCCCTCCTTTATACCTGTTAGCCCAAGGTAGCCACTAGCGGTGGTCCCTTGCTTCTCAAAGGCATCCCAGTATGTTCGATCAGTTTCCTGACTTTGGAAAAGGTATGGCCAGCCTTGATCCACGATCTAAATAGCCAAATACAAATCTGAAAAGGGCTCCCGGGGCCCACCTCAGAAAACCAAAGAATAACATCATCCAAGGTCACCAGCCCTCCAAAGCCAAACTCTCCATCCCATTGTAGAATCCTGGAAATGGATCGGAGGCAAATGCTTTCCAGGCTTCTGACCACCATCACTTTGAAGCCGCTAACAGTCCAGCCAAGTGGCATATTTGCCTCTTACCTTTTGATTCAGGCTTATGATGGCCCTTGTCACTTTTGCATCCCTCTTTCATTCTTTCTTTAAACTTAGATATCCCTTTGGCCAGGACACTTTCCTAAGTCAAAAGGACTTAACGGGTATATCTGGATGCATGTAGCTGCTGGAGAAAGTTCAGTGTGCGTACTGTCTTTATTGAACCCCAAAGACATCCAATAAATATTAACATTGTGTTTTGAATTATGATCTTTGTCTCCTTTGCCGAAACAAAATGTAACCAAGTTAACATTTGAAATCCTTCAGATATTTGAACAATGTTACAGCAAATGTTGCTTTTTATGCAGAATTTTGGGCTTGCCAAGTGAAAACTAAGCCTCCAAGTGTCTAGCACCCCAAGTTGTGAATATTGCTTCCTGTTTCCAGGCAGTTCACCTGGAGATGGCATGTAACCTATATTTTGTTAATTTAAGCAAATAAAAAAATGTTGGAAAGAACTGTGTTACTTATTTGCAAGTATCTGAAATTTGGGGAAGAGGCTGCCACTGTCAACATCACACTTCTGTCATGGCACTGTCTGCCTGGAGGCAGGGGTTCAGGATTCTCCTGCCCCAAGACTTTGGAAAAGATGAATGAACATCAGCCCATGTGTAGACAGATGGCATCATGCTCATTGTTTTATCCCATTCCAGGTTCATGGAGTTAAGAGGCAATTATCTCAATCTGAATCCAAAACTTTATAAAATGAAATTAAGACCAGAGTCAGAAGACTCCAGAATAAGAGCACTCAGGCCGGACCCCTAGTTCTAATCCAGGATGCTTGATTCAGACTCCCAGCTTCAAATCTCTGCTACCTGAGATCAGACCTCGGCTAGGAATTACACCTTCTTCATCGGGTACTATGTGGGTTAAAGGGCTTACACACAGGACACTAGACCATCTTGGGCTCACAGTTTATGCTATGAAGGAATTAAGTACGATAATGGTCAGCAGCATGGCCAGAAAACTAAGAGCTGGTTTCTTCCTCCTCTACAGAGAACTCACAAAGCCATGTTAGCACAAGCTAGCCCCTTTTCAAGGAGCTGCCCTTTAACATAGCACTAAATGTGCAACCCACGCTCTGTTATACACCAGGCATTGTGCGTGGTGGTTCACTCAATAGATTTCATCTTAGCCCAACAACACTAGGAGGCAAACACCATCCTTTTTCAACTAATGTGACCAATGAGGAAATGGACGTTTAGGAGAGTGAAACAATTTGCTCCTAAAAATACCTAATTACTAAATTTTTCCCTATGTGCCTCAAAGCACACAGCCCGGTGCGGGGTTGGTCCCCTGGAAGCAGATGCTGAGACGAATTTGGAGGTAAGATGTTTGTTAAGACTAACACAAATGAGAAGGGCTGAAAGACGGAGCAAACAGGCCTTTCCTACCGCCGTCATTCCAGCTCTCCTCAGTCTGCACTCCTCCAGGGGTGGGCTGCACTGAGACGAGCACACCCCAGCATTTGAGAATGACTCCACCGTACTCCCGAGGCAGCTGCAGGCCTTTCCTTGGAGGGGCACTGAGGAAGGGGGGTCATCTGTATTTCTCAGAGACGCCACCTCTGGCATCATCACTCCAGGCCACTTCATGGAGATTCATGGACCTTCTCTGGCAGGTTCTGACAGGCTTTTCTTCAAGATGGAATCTTGGATTTTTGTTGTTTTGTTTTGTTTTTTGCTTGTTTGTTTGTTTTTTGAGATAGGATTTCTCTGTGTAGTTTTGGTGCCTATCCTGGATCTCGCTCTATAGACCAGGCTGACCTCGAACTCACAGAGATCCGCCTGCCTCTGTCTCCCTGTGGCGCAATGGATAGCACATTGGACTTCTAGACATGATGTAATCTTAAGAGAGGAAGGCGAAAACAAATTCCAGCCCCTGTATCTGCAACGCATCAGGGTTCCAAGTGTGGGGATACTCCTGTTTCCACTCCTGGTCCAGGACTCATTCAGGCTTCCTACTGATATATAGCACCCTCAAAAGTCTTTGATCCATGAATATACTGAAAGATGGGGCCCAGTTCTCACAGACTATTTCCTCTAACCAGGAAGACTCAACTCCTGGGTATCATATATGTGGTTCAGCCAGTGTGCCCATCTCTTGACTTTACCGAAGTCAGGCTCACGGTTTGATGTGGTGGTGTGTGAGGCGCTGGGTGAGTGGAAACAACACCCCATCGCTGACTGGCACAGTAGAGCAGGCTAAGCTCTTACATGCAGTACAGAACAACTTACACCAGGAATCTGTGTCTGTGCTGCTGGCCCTTCACCGTGAAAGGTGGACCTGTCATCAAATGATTGGTTGCTCTTCTTGAGCAGTGGGGCCATTTGGGAAGCTCAGTATCACTCATCATTGGTCCATTCAGGAATGGGAGCAACTAGTTAGGTCTTGGTCGGTGCAGGTCAGGCTGCCAAGCTTACAGGCCACGCCCACCTCTGCTGCTGTGGCTACTCTTCAGTGTGTTCTTTGTTCCAGCACTGCAGTAGCCATTGGCTGAGGCTGACGTCCGCCAACAAGGTCATTGTATCCGCCATGTTACTGAGCATCTCTTCCATGGTGGGTATTAACATAGTATACAAAGATTTTCATACTTTTATTCACTCCCGTACATACGTCCACCTAGTTATCCTAGATGGAGGATAATAAATACTACTGCTTTGCTTTTTTTTTTTTTTCAGAATGTAGCAAGAATAACCTGTAGCTCAGTTCTGGATAGAGTTTTTGTACCCCTCTTCATGAACTGGGCCTCCACATTTCTCCAAGAATTCTTATAGTCCTAACTCCTACCACGATGGTGAATCTCTGCTCAGAGCATTTGATGGATTTCCTAGCCCAAAGTCCCAAATTCTTCCACATTCTTCCTCCAAACTGGTTCCAAAGGTCTAAGCACCCCATAGTCACAGCAACAGCCTCACTGCTTG